ACCTCCCCTAACCCTCCGTACTACTCCTCTATCTTTACCTCAGTCTTGTGTACGGGTAAGTATCTCCTATACCTCGTCCTCTCACTCGTTGCACTCTCATACCTGTCCCATCACATCCACCCCTCCTTCTCCATAGGTACCAGGGGTGCCTGTTTCTCCTGACTACACTTGCTGGCTCTTGCCTACTCACTTTCCTCACCCTAGATTAGTGTATCAGATTTTTGTTAACACAAGCATTGATTTTTTTCTTTTAAACCATAGTGCCCATTTTGGAATGTGTATTCTACTGCCACAATTTTGCATGAACACTCTGGCAGATTGACAATATTTTCTTTTTCCTCTCGTGAGATTCTCTACCCAACTGAAAGTAACATTCTAGTATGATAATGAATTTCTATGAGACTTCTTGTAGCGTCTCTTAGGGACCCTTCTTGTATTATCTCTTGGTGAGACTCCTGCTTGTTGCATCACTGGAAGAACCTCCTGCCTGTAGATGTTAACGAGATGATTCTTCGTAAATTAACTCTTAAGTAGATAACGAGGAGTAAGACTCGTCGTAAATCACAAGTGAGAGCTGATCATCCTCACCTTTCATAACACACTCAAGGTCATTCATATACTATATTATTCATACAGGTTAACACATTCTCAAAACATTCTCACACACTGCCTAAAGGGCAAAGTGTGATAGAGAGAGAGAGAGAGAGAGAGAGAGAGAGAGAGAGAGAGAGAGAGAGAAGAGAGAGAGAGAGAGAGAGAGAGAGAGAGAGAGAGAGAGAGAGAGAGAGAGAGAGAGAGAGAGACTCACTCAAATTCCCTGCTAGTAGCAGGGAATTTGAGAGTCTAAACAGAAGAGACTATATAATAATGGAATTTACTGAACTTCGTATAGTAGGCAATGAAAGTGGAATGGAAGACAGTTGACGAGACAATGGTGTAGTCAGAAAGGAAATGTCGAGAGCCAGAAAGAAAATATATTATTATGAGAAGAGACTGTAGAAATGAGTGGCGGCGAGATCGTCCACAGGTTAGCTGATAGCAAGAAAAAGCAAAGCCAACAGAAAAGTAGGAATGTTATATATGAGGGAGAGAAGAGAGACTGAGAAACAATGTTTGATATAACGGTAAAAGTCATACAACAGATTACTATGCAGTCAAAACATGCAGGGGCAATCTCATGCAACAGGATGTATTGCAAACACAAGGTAATGAAATCTCTCGGCTTGAGGTGGAAGACTTCAGAAGAGCGATGAGGATATCAAGAATATTTCACTGTGGATATTAGGACTCGTTCCAGCAAAGCCGGAATGAGAGAATGCCTGAATGCACAATAATGATTAAGGGAACTAGAAGACAAAACAGAGTGAGATGGAGTACCAGGAGTCACAGGAGGAATTTATACTCAGAAGGAAATCGGAACACGAGAGAGAGTTTGTGGTTACTCACAGTAGCAGACTAGTGGAGAGTAGAAAATTAAAATAAGCAAAAGAGCCAAAAATGGATACGCACAGGTAAAAAGACAAGTAGAGCGCCATCCTAAAAAAAAGGGACATTCCAACGGAAGCTAAATCTGAACCGAGACTGCTGCACTTTCACATCAGAAGGAAGACAACAACAACAGGCCAGGTAATAAGACTAAAAAATAAAAGGAAGGAGGCTAACTCACGAGGAATAACAAAGAATTCTGTGAGACGCTAAATATGAGAGTTAAGGAAGCGTTCTCGGTGGAAACAGGAACAACTCAGGAAAGTCACAGAGAAAGAATACAACAACGAACATTGGGCACCATACACATAACAGGGAACGAGGTGAATAGACTGAGCTGGATACCTCAAAGACGATGGAACTTGACGATGAATTAGCATGGGTTCTGCGATAGGGAACATTGACCTTACTGAACCATTAACTCAGTTCTAAAAGCCTATGGCACAAGAAACAGTACCTACGATCACAGGTGCCAGACCCTAATATCTCATGCAAGATAATGGTGCAACAGGTGTGTGTACAGGAGCCGAGGAAAGGGAGAAAGAGCAGGCGAGGGTCTACCAAGGTTCTCTTAATTATAGGAACCTTCGTGTCGTGTCATGTTTCCATGGCAACATCCCACGCTCGATACACACATGACCAATACCAGTCACGGACACACATTCATGACCTACATCCGCCACTCATCCGCTGACCCACATTCCCTGTCGTGGCCCACCATAGTGCCAATGACTGCCACCATCTTCTGAGGTGTTTTTAGACACCAATATCATGATGCGGCACCATAGATATACTACTGATACCACTAAGCGAGTCAGATCCACCACACACACACACACACACACACACACACACACACACACACACACACACACAACACACACACACACACACACACACACACACACACACACACACACACACACACACACACAACACACACACACACACACACACACACACACACACACACACTTATTTAAATAAGTTTTAATAATTGTATTGTCTTATTATTTTAGTTAAATGATCATTTAAATATGTTATATTACTAATTTTCTTTCATTAGATCTTATATATCACATGTGCTCGAAATACATATGGTATTATAATACATGATATGACAGGGGTGACAGCGGTGTGACCTGACCGGGATCCATGACCTGTTGTGACCTGAGAAGGATCCATGACCTATTGTGACCTGAGAGAGCTCCACGTTGCAAGTAACGTTACTCTCACTTTAGTCTCACAAGCTGAGAGATTATGCAGCAAATCTTCGGAATGGCTATGGGTAATCCTCTGCCACCTGACTAAAGCATTTTAAGACTAAGATAATAAAGACTATTGGTCTTGGTCTCATATGGAGTGACTAAGGTCCCAGGACCGAAACATTGCAAATAAAACACCCCAGTGTTTGTATTTTGGGTGTTTTTTTTTTTTGCTTACACTGGCATACTACAACACCAACCAATCCAATTCTCACGCCCAGTTTTCACCTCTTTCAATAACTTTACCCCATTAATGTTAACTGGAATTATACCCACATAAACATTGCTGTTTCGGTATCATTCTGTGAGTCAAGAATAATGAAGGCCAAATAGAATGACATTCTCAACATCTGTCAAAGTTATAGAGGAATGATTGAGTTTCTCTCGCGTGACGATAGTTCGGTATCTTGAGTTGCGATTCTTTTACTTGGACTCCACATCAGCTCCAGGTCATTGGACCAAGAGCTCCTCACCAGCATAAGTGTGCCTTTATAGAGGAGGGTAAATGCTATTGAGAAACATGAGACAGAACACTGTGTTCTCTCCCTCAGTGAACACAATAACACTGGACAGGTGAAAACACTGAACGCTGTCTTTCGCCCCTTGAAAATGGAGTCAATTTAGATTTAGATTTTCTTAGAAAAAATAGATTTTCTTCAAAAGAAATAGATTTTCTTTAAAAGAAATAGATTTTCTTCAAAAGAAATAGATTTTCTTTAAAAGAAATAGATTTTCTTCAAAAGAAATAGATTTTCTTTAAAAGAAATAGATTTTCTTCAAAAGAAATAGATTTTCTTTAAAAGAAATAGATTTTCTTCAAAAGAAATAGATTTTCTTTAAAAGAAATAGATTTTCTTCAAAAGAAATAGATTTTCTTTAAAAGAAATAGTTTTCAAGAAAGATTTTCTTTAAAAGAAATAGATTTTCTTTGATCAAAAGAAGATTTTATGATTTTCTTTAAACAGATATCGCATTTTTTTCATTTTTTAAAGTTTTGTTGACATTTTTCAAATAATTTGTAATGATTATTACAAATAATTGGCGATAAGTAAGTGAGAAAACCAATAAAACCTTCCACTGGAAGTTAGTTAAACTGACAACAGATGTTTCCACTGGGCGCAGTAGCTGGTCGAAACAGCGTGCTGCTGCCCATAGCAAAGACGACACAGCTTGCAGAGCAAGCTTTTATTGTGACAACGTTTCGCTCTATGTAGATCTTTATTACGAAACGTTCTCACAATAAAAACGTGTTCTGCACCTGTCGTTGTTAACACAATCTCAAACTCCTCCACCATAAAATATACCAAAAAAGCACATACATACATACATACATACATACATACATACATACATACATACATACATACATACATACATACATACATACATACATACATACATACATACATACATACACTAGGCTTGTACTTCCATTCTTCTCCCTTCTTGAAATTGCTTTATCTCGCTAACATATATTTTTTTCACTGTAGTCTGCAGAGAATGTCACTCAAGCTTTCTTCATTAAGTTAAACAGTGAAGATTTCTCTAGCTCATTATTTTTCATGGCACCAGGCGTAACATTCATATAACAAGGCATTACGCCTCCCTGGACAACCTCTTAACACTGCATGACATGGCTAGATGCAAGGGACGCTATGATAAGTCATTCGTGTGACTTATTCAACACGCTGGTCGCTCGTGGGGCTGTAAACATCCACTCTGCACTATTACCAACCACTCGTTCCCATTTCCCTGCTCTTAGCTACACGATACTCACAGATCTCGTCAGTGAAGCTGATGGTCACACTGGATGCTGATTCACCGCTGATAGTGTGCAGTTGGTAGCATCTCAGACGCTGCAGCACGGTGTAACACCATTTCCATGCTTCTAACTACATCTGGCTTCCAGCACCACTGTAGTAACACTATTACCATGCTACTAACTACGTCTGGCTTCCGGCACCACTGTAGAAACACCATTAACACGCTACTGTCACCATATTTTGTTTCCGGCAGCACGATAGTGACACTATCACCACGCCTCTGCCACCACATCTAGCATCTTGCAGCACAGTAATAACACCATCACCACGCCTCTGTCACCGCATTTAGCTTCTGGCACCACTATTGTAACACCATCACCACACCTCTGTCACCACATCCAGCTTCTTGCAGCACGGTAGAGACACCATCACCACTCCTCTCACTACATCTTCTGACTCCACTACCACCTCACAACTTGCGTTACAGGGACACCATTATGGCTGCTCCTACACATCGCGCCCATCAAGAACGAGAAGGACATCGTGGTGCTGTTCCTGTGCACCTTCAGAGATATCACGGCGCTCAAACAACCCATCGAAGCAGAGGACTCTCGAGGTAAGAACTACTGTTGGTGCTTAGGTGTCTCCTGCAGTCAGTCAGCTCGAGAGGGAAGGAGACGGTGTCAGAATGCATCATTTCAAAGCAATTTATACAATGTTTTACTAGCTTTTAGGAGCGCTGTGCAGCTTAACAAGTGCTGGCGCTGAAGTAGATTCCATGCAATAATATATGTTTAAATCTGTGAAGAGTCAAACACCCCATGGAGGGTTGGAAACGAACAGACTTTTGTTTGTGTAGTTTACTAAATGTCTGATAACCAGCTCACTTCAGATTTCTTTAAAGGGATATTCTTTAACATGACAGCACAATAGAACCTCTCCATATGGTTATAACTGTGATTTCTCAGTCAAGAGTCATGTGTCTCTGTCGAAGTAAAGGATGGGATGGGCGGGGGATAGGCGGGCGGGCACAAGGGAACAGAGAATCACTCTTCCATCAGATTCACCTTTTGTCACACATTTCCCACCCTCCTAATTTTGGTTATCTAAATTGCAGTCCCCTACAAATGAAGACTTGTTACTTGGGCTTAGTTGCGGCCAGGAACAGAGCACACACGCTTGCAGGCATATTTTATATATACTATTATATAAATATATAATATATATATATTATATATATATATATATATATATTATATATATAATATAATATAATATATATATATATATATATATATATATATATATATATATATATATATATATATATATTATATATATATATATATATATATGTCGTGCCGAATATGTAAAACTTGCGATCTTGGCTTAAATAGCAACGCTCATCTTGCCATATAGGACAAGTGAAAATTTGTGTATGCAATAATTTCGCCAAAATCATTCTGAACCTAATGAAAAACTATATTTCGTTGTGTTTGTTTAGTATTAAATTATTTTAAAATATATAAAATATATCTAGTTGGATTAGGCTAAAATAAATTACGTTTGTTATAATAAGGTTAGTTAAGTTTTCTAAGATTGTTTAGTTGCAAAATTATAAATTTTTACATCAACGTTAGTGAAAAATATATATCTTTAAACGTATAAGAGAAAATTTTAGAAAGAACTTAATTTTAAAAGAGTTCTTGCTAACTGACCAGTTTTACATATTCGGTACGACATATATAAATATATATATATATATATAATATATATATATATATATAATATATTATATATATATATATATATATATATATATATATATATTTGTTACCACGAACAAGTGGTATTTAATCAATAACAACACTGCGACTAGCCGGAGGATCGAACCCGTGTTGTTTTAGCTGGCCTCATGGCGAACGAAAATTCACGACGCTCTAACCCAGTGGACCCACTAACTCACGGTCCAGTGGGTTAGAGCGTCGTGAATTTTCGCTCACCATGAGGCGGGCTAAAACAACACTGGTTCGAGCCTCCGGCTAGTCTCAGTGTTCTTATTAATTAAATACCATTTGTTCGTGGTTACAATACTATATATAATATTATATATATATATATATATATATATATATATATATATATATATATATATATATAATATATATATATATATATATATATTATACTGCGAGAGCTTAATTAGACGCAGTGTAGCTTTGCTAATGGATTTTAATTGAAAGTCAGTTTTAGATGATAAAATCCATCAAAGCATGAGACTAGCTGGCCTTGTTATAGTGGCTGTGGACCATCAGCATCCTTGGCGGAAGCAGGACAAAATAGCTGTCAGATGCCCTACACTGTTATGTTTATATTCACCTTCCTTTAACACCCTTCAGATTCCAGTTACTCTCAGCTATTATAAAAAGTGTTATATTGTAAGGATATATTATGTGTGTAGCTGAAAGTTTATATACATGGCACCTGGCGACGTTTCTGATGTTTTGGTATGTGCAGCGACCAGCGGGGGGGAGTGAATTATTGCTGCCACTTTACATTAAATGTTTTGGTCACTGTTTTGGTTTGAGTTCGTTCTCCGCCGGCACATTAACAAGGTGCATTCTTGTATGTCATCCTAGTTAGGTGCACCCTTATTGTCAGCTTATTTAAGTAGACTTCTCTGTGTCAACCAAACTATGTGCAGCTGTCAGTGTCGTCCCGACTAAGGGCAGCTGTCAGTGTCGTCAAGACTGAGTGCAGCTGTCAGTGTCGTCCCGACTAAGTGCAGCTGTCAGTGTCGTCCCGACTAAGTGCAGCTGTCAGTGTCGTCCCGACTAAGTGCAGCTGTCAGTGTCGTCCCGACTAAGTGCAGCTGTCAGTGCCGTCCCGACTAAGTGCAGCTGTCAGTGCCGTCCGACTAAAGTGCAGCTGTCAGTGTCGTCCGACTAAGTGCAGCTGTCAGTGCCGTCCCGACTAAGTGCAGCTGTCAGTGCCGTCCCGACTAAGTGCAGCTGTCAGTGTCGTCCCGACTAAGTACAGCTGTCAGTGTCGTCCCGACTAAGTACAGCTGTCAGTGTCGTCCCGACTAAGTACAGCTGTCAGTGCCGTCCCGACTAAGTACAGCTGTCAGTGTCGTCCCGACTAAGTGCAGCTGTCAGTGTCGTCCCGACTAAGTACAGCTGTCAGTGTCGTCCCGACTAAGTACAGCTGTCAGTGTCGTCCCGACTAAGTACAGCTGCCAGTGCCGTCCCGACTAAGTACAGCTGTCAGTGTCGTCCCGACTAAGTACAGCTGTCAGTGTCGTCCCGACTAATTGCACCTTTCAGTGCTCTAACAACACACCAATTCATATGCTGTGAGCCCGACCACGTGAAGTGTTTCCATGACACTTGCAACACCACAAGTCACACTGTGGGCCAGACAGGAGGTCATTAAACTCCGTATTCCACACACCCGTTACTACGTGGTCACCACCTGGTCACCACTTGGTCGCACCTGGTCGCATCCCCCCTCTCCCTCTTTCCACAGGTCGACCATCTTAGTATAGTGTTGTCGGGTCATTAACGTGGTTTGGGCGTGTGACCTCCATTTCTTACGTGGGTCACGTGACCTGAAGAGTGTTCCTGCTAGCCTCTTACACGTCTTGAGTTATACAAGTATCTTCTATTACACAAAAATGTCACATACTTTATGTATGTGCGTACATCTCTTGTGGTCAGATACTGAGATTTTTTTTTAAGTATGACCTGTGGTATGAGAGGTGCGAAAGGTAATAGAGTTGAATGAAAGTTCATCAAGGAGTATACAAGTGTAGCATTAATGTTTATGCGAGGTAATGTATGCATATGTTCCTCTGACGCAGGAGTATGCTGCGTCAGAGTCGTAAAACAACGGTGTTGTGACAACGTCACCACACAGTGCAACATAATCTGACAGGACTTGAGTGGTGAAGCACCAAACTGTTCCTCGGGAGAGAGAAGAACGCCAGGCTGAGACAGTTGTACCTGTGATCACCTGGCCTGGTGACTGACCAGTAGGGAACCACACCAACTTCAACCTCAACTTTTTCCACTGTTCATATAGTGGAATGAGTTGTGATATTTACAGAGCAGTTTGACCATGTAGTCACTCAGCGCTAATAACAGTAAACAAGTTTACAACAGACAATAACAAACGGAGATAAACTTAACTAAAAATACAACCCACAAAAACACTCAGTACAAATAAATAATATACCAAGTTAAGATAACCTATATATTTATTAAAACTCTCATTAATGATTATTGTTAAAAGACTTTTTTAAAAGTTCCCCGAGATTCCTACGGGCACCTCGGTAATTAGAAAAACCATGTGACATGCCGCTTCCTGTGTAGCACAGGAAGTGGCATAACACAAGCTACACAGGGGGATAAGATCCTCCCCCACACTAAATCCACTATAAGGAAGATGTTTGTGTTTAGTCCTCAGTCGACAGAGGTTCGTTGCAAAACGGCGATTCTTGTGCGTGTGCGTGTGCGTGTGCGTGTGCGTGTGCGTGTCTGTGTGTGTGTGTGTGTGTGTGTGTGTGTGTGTGTGTGTGTGTGTGTGTGTGTGTGTGTGTGTGTGTGTGCCATGTGCCGTAATACCTTCAGCCCGGGCTTGCCACACAGATAGAGGTATGACAGATGGTGCAACTAGACAACCACAAAACCAAGGAAACAGTGCACCCAACAATGAAAGTAAAGGCACATGTCAGGTGTGTGGAGGGTATCGGGCACTCAACAGTAACGGCCTTAATCGTGTACACAAAGGGTGTGTGGATCACATATGGCCGCAGTAGAGAGCAGCCTCCAGCCTCCAGAGGCAGAGAACAATTCGAATGGCAACCTCCTCACTTGCAAAGACATGATGACATTCTAATCCACTGCCAGCAGCACCCCATCTCACACTCCCGTGTGTGTGTGTACTCACCTAATTGTACTCACCTAATTGTGGTTGCAGGGGTCGAGACTCAGCTCCTGGCCCCGCCTCTTCACTGATCGCTACTGGATCCTCTCTCTCTCTGCTTCCTGAGCTTTGTCATACCTCTTCTTAAAACTATGTATGGTTCCTGCCTCCACTACTTCACTTGCTAGGCTATTCCACTTGCTGACAACTCTATGACTGAAGAAATACTTCCTAACGTCCCTGTGACTCGTCTGAGTCTTCAGCTTCCAGTTGTGACCCCTTGTCCCTGTGTCCCCTCTCTGGAACATCCTATCTCTGTCCACCTTGTCTATTCCCCGCAGTATCTTGTATGTCGTTATCATGTCTCCCCTGACCCTTCTGTCCTCCAGTGTCGTCAGTCCGATTTCCCTTAACCTTTCCTCGTACGACATTCCCTTGAGCTCTGGGACTAGCCTTGTTGCAAACCTTTGTACTTTCTCTAACTTCTTGACGTGCTTGACCAGGTGTGGGTTCCAGACTGGTGCTGCATACTCCAGTATGGGCCTAACATACACAGTGTACAGTGTCTTGAACGATTCCTTATTGAGGTATCGGAACGCTATTCTCAGGTTTGCCAGGCGCCCGTATGCTGCAGCGGTTATTTGGTTGATGTGTGCCTCCGGTGATGTACTCGGTGTTATGGTCACCCCA